TGCTCCATTGGAGGCGTCGAAGAGGGGTCAACTCAAAACCTGGCTTGACACAGTTCGTCAGGACATGGAGGTGGCTCTTGGACCTTCGGTATTCGGTCTCCGTCGTTGGTGAAGAGAATTGGTTGGACTGTCTAGATCTGCTACCGCGGATCGTCACTCGTGGGGAGGTGCAGCTCGGGACATCATCGAGGCCGGCTAGATCAGGCATGATCATGTATTTCAAGATCTTTTTGAGCAAAATCGAGGTACTTTTCCGTTTTTTGCATTGTTCGATACGCAATCAATAAAAGCAAATAGGATTCCGCTTGACTTCGCTGACAGAATTATGTCCCTCCTTCGAGCATAAAATTAGAAGACGTAGTTATCTTCCGAATGAGCGAAACAATGAATGTTTTTATGCATGTATTGCATGAAATATAATTGGACTTTCAGGGGAATCGGAAATCAATGAGAAAAACTCATGCTATATAAGTAGTCATTTTTACTGTGTACTTTATACATGCAGCCGGAAGGAAGTTCGTCCGAAACCCGGCATCCTGAGGTAACTGAAATATCATAGAATTATGTTGCAGGTTGACTAGTTTTACAACCCTACTTAATTAATCTTTTCGAAACGAAAACGCATTTCGAGATTTGGGTTGACATTTCATGAGTTAGCCCACCTATTGTACTGACAGGCCGGCCAATGACTGCTAGATTCGGATTGACATGTGCAATTGTAAACGTATCACTTTGTGCATACTAAGAGGACTTCTTTCCGTCAAACATATTTGAGTTTTTTCTGATTGTGGAGTAAGTTGAGTTTCAGACCGTCCGTGAAATATCAGCGGATAATTCACTACTTTTCAGTGATTTCAATCGATTGCCCGTATAAATAGAGGTTGTACTATGCATTTATCATGACCCTAAAAATATGAAACCTTTTGAAAACATTTACCGAAGCAGCGTGTGTGGGCGTTCTTCATGCATATGGCCGTTCCAGTCACCCAAACATGAAACCTCACTGTTAAAAAATGAGCGTCTGCAACAAGAGACTGCGACGAATATGTCTTCTATCAATTGAAAAAGTTCCTCTAATGAGCTACCTATTGAAAGCGCCTTAGTACTGTATTATATTGATAGACGTCCACGTACTTCACCTTTTTACACAGTAAGGTCAAAAAGATTGGCACCTTTGATTGCTTTTTTTCATCTCTTTGGAAAATATAGATGATTTTTCTGTCTTCCTCTTTACACTGCAGACGCTTTCGCTATCCCTGCTTACTTTCAGGCTTTTTTCTACTATTATGAACGCACAGAATAGTGGCCATATAAATACTGACATACTGCATAAACTGATGATTTTTTGCCCGTTTCTTTTATAAATTACGTATAAGCAGAAACTAGAATTCAAAAAGCATTTTTTAGTTCAAAATCTTAAATGGTTACTCGGTGATGGTCATTTTCGCGATCAGAAATGGAGAAAAGGAGTTTGGGCCAGACGATCTGACTGCGAAAACTGCTCGTCGGTGGTCTTTATCAGTATCACGTCTTCGCCCATACATCAAGTCGCAATGGGATTTTTACGAGGTCACGATATTGTGCGTCACAGCACAATGGGACGAACATGTCCTGTAACATGATCGATAAAAGTCGTCATATCCAACTATACACAACTACACATATATAAATGACATCCATAATGAAGCAGGGCATGAGGCTAACAAGGATCTAGAAATTTTGCGGAATGTGGTGTTCATCCTCACTATAAGTTATAGATTCGCCCGAACAAAACGAAACACATGCCCAGAATAAAAATTTAAGACTGACGTCTTAATCTCCCGTTTTAATAGAATAGTTGATCTAACTCTCTAGGCAGACTGGTATTAATGGACACAAACCACAATAATGTGGTTTCGTGCTCAGTCTGCCTGCATATGAAATAAACTTGCTTGTTGCCAATTTTTTAATCGCGCGTTTCACTCAATGGTTAAGGCGGTTTCTCAGTTCTTTTATGGATAGCGAATCTTCAAATATTCCTCAGTTTCGCCACCTATTGCATTTGGGCGACAAGGCAAGATAATAACTTTAGGAGATGAGACCGCATCCCACAGACCACACCTTCCGAGAGTCGGTAGT